AGATTTGTGTTGAAGTCTACCCAGCACATGAATTTAATTTTCTTCCTTTTCAATTTGCTTACAGGTAATTCAAGTCAAAATAATATAATCACTCTGCTAAATTCCTTTGCCAAATCTTGAAGGTGTTCAAGGAATGTTGTTGTATTAAAAAGGAATTTTAATTTATAGATATGATGGCTAATTTTATTCTCTAAACCTTCTTTAATCTGTTGAATTAAATAAATAGTATAGGTAAAGAATTCTTTCAAAATATGTTATCTGTACAACTTTGCTAAAGATACCTTGATTTGAATGGAAATTCATTATCTTAAAAATAAAATGCAAACTTTTTTTGGGAATATGGAATATACTGATAAATTTAATGACCCTGTTGTTCACAAAAAGTCAAAATAGAGAAAATGAGAAAGAAAGGAAGAGAAAGGAGAGGCAGCAAACACAAGTAATAAGGAAAAGATTTTATATGTATTGAATTTAGTATTGAGCATGCTCATTTTAATAGATGTTTTTAGCAGAATAAGAATAAAATATGTGCTGGCAAACTTAGTAGCTAAGTTTGGTAACTTTATGGTCAAATCCACCCAAATACAAGGCCTTGCTTCTCTATTTAGTAACTGTGAAACTTTGGTCAAGTTACTTAATTTCTTGAAATAATGGTACTTAATATATATTAAGTTTGCTGTAAGTGTTAAATCAGATAATATTTGAAAAATACTAAACATAGTGCCTGGTACATAGTAATTGCTCAAAAAATTGTTGCTTGGTGACATGGTGATGATGATGACACTTCTAAGTAATGATTGATGTAGGGTACTAGTTAAAAGGAGAAGTATCTTTATTTGGAGTAAAAAGAGGAACACCTAATTCAAAATGATCCTCCTGAATTTCACTAGCTCACCTCTAAGATATTCCATAAAAATTTAATTAAATATCGAGAAATACATTTATTTGTGTTAAGACCTATTTTAAAACCATAGCAAACAAGGAATTTTGCCTTTCTTGGATGCAGCACTGACCTATTATACTAGTATGTGCACAAAGTTTATAAATATATTGGATATGCTGGATGACAATTTACTTTTTTACTATTAGACTTTAATAACGGAGGCCCAATAGCAAAATTGAACCAAACAAAAGTCTTCCCAAACTAAACCAGACTCGCGTAATTCAAACCAACCGAACTAAACTAAAGAGAGTCCATTCACAGGTGAAATGGCATAAATAGAACACAAAGACCATAAAATGTTTAACAAATTCCTAAAAGTACCTAAATTATAATTTTGACTTTCACGCTATTTCTATCTGGTAAATCTTGAAGAACTGAAACTAATGGTGTTCTCAAAGGAGATAATTCAAAGAAATAATGTAAAAATGATCATACATTTCATTAGCTTATTTCTGCATTTAAAATTTTAGTATAAATTGCTCATTTCTAGAAGGCCACTTGAAATAATTAATAACAATGTTATTTATCTTTTCGTTATTGTCACATGATAACATGTTGATATTGCCTCTTAAATGAGAGTAAGAGAGCTTGGAAAACCAAAACGTCTCCTCCCATCTCATTCATCCCCTCCTGCCTCTTATTTCTGACAAGTCAGATTGTCAGTCAACAAGTTTAAGAAAGTTCTTCACATATACCTCAAACTTACAAATTATATTTACAGGAGCTAGACACTCTGATATTTATAAAATGCTTAAAGAAGATAATTAGTGGTGGCATAATTTTTATTTCATTAATGGGTTGTGGAAGAGCTTTTCGTTTCCACCAGGCTCTTCTGTCTCAGAAGGTAACCCTGTTGGGGCTGGCCTCGTGGCCAACTGGTTAAGTTCGCGCGCTCCGCTGCAGGCGGCCCAGGGTTTCGTTGGTTCGAAGCAAGTCCATCCCAAAGCCGTGTGCTTGCTCAAACATTCCCGTTTAGAAGGATGATTTCTTAAATAGAAAATGGGTGAAAAATACTTATTACAGTGCGTGGTACTATATTGCACGAGTTTTATGGATGAGGAACAAAGAGGTTAAATAAACGCTCAAAAGTCAGATAGTAGGTGGCAGAGCTCGGATATACGTCCAGGCAACTGTTAATCACTGCCTTCAACAAGCCCTGACTACTTTTACTCTCTCAGTGTGGTTACTTCTCAATCAAGTGAATTTGATCAGGTGAGCCCTGACTTTTATCCTAGGATAGGGCTAGACCCTGGGGCACACAGTCACTTAGCTCAGGACACATTGAGACATGTGCAGTTGGTGCCACCTGCCAGCAGCCCTTTCAGCAAATGTAGTGCTTGGCTTTCTGTTGATTGACCTTCCAAGTGAACATCGAGGTGTGTGCTCCTAAAGCTGGGTGCTGCTTAGAGTAACCCATCTCCATCAGGTCACCGGCTGAAAACAGAGAGAAATGGGGACAACTAGTATTTGGCAAGATTTAAGGGGAAGAGGAAAATGGGATTCTAAAACGATCGATGACAAGACAGTGGAAAATCCTAAAACTCTAGTAACATGCCTACTCCTCTAGCACTTGAGCTGCCTCTCCCTGTGCTATTGTTTCAGAGCTTTATCACTCTGGGAAATAAAAACTATAGTTAAAGCTTTTATTTTAAAGACTATCTTTGTAAACATTTACTTAAACTGATGGCGTGGAAAGCACTGTGCCAATTGTCTAATTTCATAAGCTACCAGCTAATGACACTTGGAAACTTACTGAATTGTTGTGCTGCAGGTGAGGCAAGAAAAGTGCACTTTTCTACCTGCAGGTAGTAGAAGGAAGTTGGCTTCAATCATTGGCAAGTAGCACTGTGCTTGCTAGCAGCAGCTCTGTAGAAAACCCTCCCCGACATAGGTTTCTGGTGTCTGTTCTCTCTCTTTCCCTTGGTTTTTCCTTCATATCCTTCTATACACAAAAGCAAAACAAACAAATGAAAAACAAAACTCCCAAAGAAATTTTAGTGATCTCTCTCTCATATTGCCTTCTCAATGTATAAGTGAAGAAATTGACACACACAGAAACACCAAAAAAGTTAAGTTGCTGGACTGAGGTCAGGCAGCTGATGCTGAAAAAAAAGAAAAGAAAATTAAGTGTAAGCTATTGACTAGTTTAGGGAAAGAGCACAATTTAACAACTAGAATACAAAGCAGAGTAGATAAATCACAGGGCCATAGAGTTTTAAAGCTTAAGAGTATCTCAAATATATCATCCAAATTAAGTCGCCCACTCCATATCTCATGGCATTCTCAGTAGGAAAGTCAAACGCAAAGTCTCCACTGATGGCTGTACTTCAGCTTCTCAGATTCCAGAATGTCTCAAAGGTCTCATGCTACTCACCTTGACACCAACCTGCTCTTTTTTACGTTGGGTTGTGTTGAACGTTTCAAAACCCATTCCTCTACTTATGAGGGCAGCATATGTGACAGGAATCAAGAGAATTTAGGAATACAGAAGGCTGAGCAAGACAAGCAACATGTTTACCCTCAAAGAGCTAATATTTACATGGGGAATCTGACAATAAACACATAAATAAATAAATAGACAGGAAAATTCAAATTTGTTATTACCATGCAGAGAATAATTGGGCATTGAGATAGAGGGTGAAATTAGGGAAGCCACGTTGGGCAAGATGGTCAGGGAAGATCTCTGGGTGGCTGTGACGTTTGAGCTGAGACAATAGAACGAGGATGAGGCAGGTACACCAAGAGCTAAGAGAGAAACCCATTGGGCAGAGGGACCGTTCGCTTGAGTTGGATCTATGCAGAGAGTGACAGGGAGCTCTCCACAGATGAAGAGGCAAACACAAGGGCCAGGGCATGAAAGCTTGGGCACCTTCCGGGAATGGCAAGAGCATAAGGTGCGATGGGAGGAAGGACCAACCCTGGGGCTGAAGGGTGGGCAGGGGCTAGATGAGGACCAGCCCTAAATGTTCTGCAATGGTGTGAAAAGCTTGGAGGCATTCTGAGCTTTTCAATACATTGTTTCTTTCTTTATTCTTGAGTGGATTGCATTTGGCTGATTTAGATTATAAAAGTGTCTGGGAAGTCACGTTTTTAAGAATCCTCAGGAAATCTTTTTCAAAAGGAAAATAATCAAACAAATTGTGATTATTAAGTTTGAAATAAACAAACATAACTAGTTCACATTTTAAAGAAAGTGTCTAATGCGGAGTTTTGACTGCTTTTTAATTTGTAATCTAATTTTAAAAACTGTTAAATTTTAAATCAGCTGTTAAATTTTAGAATATCAAATTATTGTCTATAGCTTATCTGCATAACATCACTGTCTACCTACTGTTTTTTTTTTTTTTAACTAAGAGTTATTTAGGAGCACGTAAAAAGCAAAATATAAAAACTGAAAACCTCTTGTCATGTGTTCTAGGTGATTATTGCTATTACAACATATCAGTTTTGAATGAGGTGAGAATCTACTGCAGGAAATCTTTTAATTACCGGTACAAAAGTCTATGAATTTTTCTATTTATGAAACCCACAAGAGGGGAAACAGCTACTTTATAGAGTTGTATTATTGCTATACTTTTGTTTAAATTATAGAGATATAAAATGTTTAACACACTCTTACATTTAATGTCAATAAGTCCATAAATAAAGATTTATTAAAACTTGACAAGTTTTAAATTGCTTTATTGAATGTTTGGTGGTTATTCAGAAATGAAAACCATAAGGTTAGAGCCTAGGAGGGGAAAATTAGATACTCATGAAAAGATGACTAATAAGACAAGGCCACACAGGATCAATTAAAACTGAGTGGTGGAAATCAAAAATGTCATTGAGGATGAGACTGGACAGCATGCATTTCACAATAGTTGTCAGAATTGGGGTTCAGACTAGCCTTTGGAAAAAGAGTTTGAGACAGGAGGAGAGGAGGGTGACAGCAGAGGAGGAGAGAACAATGCAGGTTACGTAACTATGACAAACACTGAAGGATTGCTCCAGTCTAACCCTGTTGTCCTGCCAAAAATCCAGAAACAGTAGAAATAAAACCAGGTCAGTAAAGCAGTATTTAGTAAGAGTTTATTGTGCACAAAAGAACAGTTCATGAACTGGGCATCTTCAAATCCAACACTGATATCAAGCTCAGAGGCATGGTGGTTCAGGATGACTTATAAGGTGAAAATGAGGAATGGGTTTAACCTTTCCAACGATAGATTATTACCAGGAGGGTTTCTAGACAGCAGAGATTGGTGAAAAGTGATAACTTTATACCATTTTAGGAAGATGACTTAAGTTTCTTTTATGATTATCCGAGACATTTGCAAGAAATAACCTAAATGAAATTTCACTTATGTTCATGAAATATGCTAGATTTAGTTTTGCTGGCGTGGCTTAAACGGTCTTGTCTGCTTGGGAAATTTTCAAGCCTGGTATTCATTTTGCCTTATTTTGACAGTCTCTAAGCCACAGCAGCCCATGGGTAAACACTGGATCGTGTTAACAATTTTTCACTCTGTGAAGCTAGCCCTCCATCAGAGAAATTGCTGGGATTTCAGCCTCGTACAAATTGCATACTCTGCTGCTCACCCTCAGTTATCACTGAGGGTCATAAGAAGGTGTTACTCATGCACTTGCTAAGTCCCCTCTGCTCCCTCATGGTGCCCATCCTTGTCACTCTCTCAAGGAATGAGGATGAAACCTCTGCAGCTGCTCTCACTTGAGGGAGGTCTCACCACTGTCTCAGATCCTGCTGTCTTCCCTGAGACGTCTGGAGTCCCTGCCAAAGGCCGGGTCTCCGTTTCCCAAGGCCCACACCCCACTTCATTGCTGCTGAGATGCTCAGTGTCTCAAATGCCAGATGCACAGAGTGTTCTCTTCAGTCTCCCCTGCACAGAGTCGTGCATGGATGGGGAGAGTCTCTTTCTCTCGGCATTACACTGTCCACTCAGCTATATGGGCCCAGAAATGACACTAACTGGTGTTCCAAGGTCTCTCTTACAGAATGCTTTGTAAAAACAATGCATTCCTTCTTTTTCTTAGCAGGATTTCTCACCTCAGCCCCCACAAAAGGATTGATGAAATTTGTCATCCATGAAATGTTGGCTCACCGTGAAGAACAATACCATTCTGCAGACGAGCTACTGAAAGAATACGATTTTCTGAATGCAGCAGCAGTAACTAGACAAATTTGCCCTAAATGAAGGGGGACGTTTCCTCTTCTCAATTTCTCACTTTTTGAAGTAGACCTCAGACTGGCTTGGGTGCTTTATGAGTGCAATGTGGGAAGCAGGTGATGCTGTGGCTGTGTTCCTGGAGCTGTGAGCTCTGGTCCCAACTTCACCTCTCAACTGCGTGATTTTACAGGTCAGTTTATGACTTTGGATTTCAGCTTCTTTTTAATCTGAAAAAAAAATAACAAGTTTGGCTTAAATGATCTTTTGTTTGTTTTTCTTCCTAAAATTCTACAAGCCTATAAATATATTAAAGATCAGTATATTCCCATGTGTTTGAAAATACCAACTCAATCTAAGCAAGAATCTTGTGGGACCCTTGAAGCTCTGTGTCAGATGAGCCCTGTTGACTTAATATGTAAAGTATTATTATCAAGCACATACCATGAGCAAATATTAATTTGCAAGCTCTGAAGTGTAAGAAACAAAAACACTTTTAAAATTCTCTTTAGATCCACATAAAACTGCCTCCAAACACCTCCCTGATTTACTCCTCTGCACTCTGGAAGGAAATTCTATTCTAATCAATGTCACGGCCCTTCCTAGATGGCCCCAGACACTGGGAAGGTTATGTCACTTCTGAAATCTGGGCGGGACCTTCAGTCTCTACCTGCACTACGATGGCCGCTGCTGTCCTCATTTTCTATAACTGGCAGGTCTCCACTTCTGACACTGCTGAGCTATTCCTGGGGCATGGGCATCTTTGCAGAGGCCTATGCTTCTGTCCAGTGTCCACCCTCCCCACATGCAACACGCTTCCATACCCTTTGAGGTCTTGCCTTCTCCTCAGGGCATTACCATAGAGCAGAGCACAAGCATCCACAAATATCAGCGTTAACTGATTTCTAGGAATTCTCTCCCTTTTCATTCTCCATCCATAGTCTCTTCAACAGGTTTGACATTTACTGAACAAAGGAAGGGCTGTTATCTGCTTCTCCTGTGAAATTATCTACGGCAATGGATACATGGGCCTGGCTATGTGCTTGAATGGGAGGAGAAGAAATTAAGGAAAAACCGTAAACGGGTTAATATCCAAATGGATTATCCTGCTTACATCAGCTGGCTGTCGGAGTAAAGGGAAGTGACTCATTTAACTAGCATAAAATAAGGATAAAACTTAGCACTGGCTTCAGGTAAATCAGATCAGGTTAATGGGTGCTCTTGTTAGTTTTAAAATTGACTCTAGTTTGGGTAGATAATCCCCTCTTGATCATATTGCCAAAAAGAAGACAAAGCAAAACAAAAACCTCCAAGTCTAAGTGAAGACAGTTACATTAAGTTCTTAATTCAAAATCATAAGTGTAAATTTCTGAACAATCATAGCAGACTGCCTAGATTTGCCTCTTTTCTACCCAAGTACATTTCTCTCTCCAGTCAACTGACGTTTCCTGCCTGCTCGCATACTTGAGTTTTGCGTTGTCTTGGTCAGAAACAGTGTCCTGCCTTGATGACAGATGCGTTAAGGCTAATGCTAAAGGTTGCATCAACTATTGTTTCTTTGGGGCTGATGCCTAGTGACTTTCTCTTGCCTCCCTTTCCAACTTCCATGGCCCTCGGCCCTCTGAGTTCCTGTTTCCCTCATTCTAGACTAAGCAGCACATCTTTTTATATTTGTGAGGTTTGGTTTTAGGCCTGTCTAAGAGGGTCTGCCTTTGGCTCCTCTGTTTTTCTGAGCTCTACCCCCTGGTCTTGCTGCTAACAGGGCCTTCCCGCCATCCCTAATCCAGTTTTCTACCTACACACATGGCACAAAATGGACTTGAGTACCCACTTCAACAAAACTACATTATCCCAGAAACCCTGTATTCACACAGTTTCACAGAAAGCTTTGTATGCAGTGTTCAGTACATACTAAATATTGACAATAACACAAGGTGCACAGCTTGCAAAGTGAATGATTATTTAGACAACTTAATGACTCAGGTTTTCTCTAAGAGTTATTTTTCATTTGCCTGGGCATTTGTCAACACATATTCAAAGAACGGGGGAAAGACTAGCCTGTTCTTCACAGAAAAACAATTTGATGAACTTTTTGATGATTATACATTTGATGGCTCTGAGACATTGCAAGAAATATCAAAAAGGGAGCAACCATTATTTTGTTAACAATATGCCACTTTAGTTATGATGTGGCTCTGGATATACTGCTGCCACCTGCCCAGCAAGCTCCTGTGAAGACAAAGAATTTCCTGAAGGGAGGGTCTTCTACTAAGCAACATCCTCTCATCAAGGCCGCTTGTCTTATATGCCACACAGTCACCTTGGGACAGAAGGGAACAACAACAAAATAACAATCAAAATACCTCATCTGCATCTACACATCACAAGAACCCTGATTAATAATAAGTAAGTGCCTTATAAAAATGTAATGGAGATTGCAGAAATGCTGAATCCACATTTACCTCATCAGCCTTTTCAAGCCTCAGTTTCCTACTCCCAACATACAGTAAGTATCTGTGTGATGACAACTTACTTTGTAGGCTTGTTGTGAAGACTCAATGGTGTGATGGATATAAAATGCATAATATTGTACTTGACACAAAGTGAGTATTAGCATTTTTAATTAGTTTCTCTTATCTCAACTTTTTTCCTTGGGAATATATCTATAATATATCAACTATCATAAGGCTCCTCATGTAGGAACCAGAAATGAGAGTTTTAACTCGACACCTACACAAAGGCTGGGAACGGGAAGCTGAATAAAAATATTGCAAGGGCATTTTTTATAATTTAGTTTTTTAATGGCATACAGCACATTCAGTCTTTGTGGTGCACCATTTGGTGAATTTTTACAGAGTCGTGCATCTACCAACATAATCATGATACGGAACAGTTTCTTCACATTAAAAATTTCCCTTGTGCTGCCCCTTTTTAGTCAATCCCTCACTCCGATTCCAACCTCTGCAGCCACTGATCTGTCCTCTTTCCCAGCAGTTTTGTCATTTCTGAATATCTTATAAGTAAAATCATACAGAATCAGACTTTGAGTTCTGGCAACTTTTGTTTACCAAAGAGCAAATGCGATTTATTCACGTGGTTGCATGCGTCTGTAGTTGAGTCCTTTTTATTACTTTGGGTAGCTTTACCTGTTTATTTTTCCATTCATTGGTCAAAAGATATTTGGGTTGTTTCCAGTTTTTGGTGATTTTGAATAAAGTTGCTATAAACATTCACATACAGGTTTTTGTGTGAACTTAAGTTTTCACTTCTTTTGAGTAAATGCTTAGGAGTTTAATTGCTGGGTAGTATAATAAGTGCATGGTTAACTATAAAAGAAATTGCCATACTGTTTTCCAAAGTAGCTGCAATGTTTTATATTTTCACCAGCAATGTTGAGGAGTTCAAGTTGCTCTATATCTTTGTCAGCACTTAGTTGTGTCAGGTTTTCCCCCAGCATTCTTATAGGTATGTAGTGGTATCCCATTATTATTAAAAGGCACAACATTGCTATTCATCTCCCTAATGAGCAGCAACGTTGTGCATCTTTTCATGTGTGTAATTGCCATCATTTATGTCCTTGGATGAAATGTATATTCAAATCTTTTGCCCATTTTAAAAATTGTGTTGTTGGTTATTCAACTGTTTAGTTTTGAGAACAATTTACATGTTCTTGATAAAACTCCTGTCAGATATACAATTTCCAAACATATTCTCCCGTTCTTTGATTTGACTTTTCATTCTCTTGACAGTGTCTTTTGCAGAACAAAAATTTTTAACTTTGACACAGTACAATTTATCTTTTTTCTTTTATGAATTGTGCTTTTGGAGTAGCATTGTATTAGTCAGAGTTCTTCAGAGAAACAGAACCAATAGGTGTGCAAATATAGAGGGAAAGAGAGATTTATTTTACAAAATTGGCTCATGCAATTACGGAGGCTGGCAAGTCCAAAATCTGCAGGATGGTCTGTCAGGCTAGAGAAACAAAAAAGAGCAGCTCAAGTCTGAAAAAGAGCAGCTCAGGCAAGGCCATCTGCTGGCAGAATTCCCTCTTGCTTGGGACAGGTCAGTCTTTTGTTCTATTAAGACCCTCAACTGACTGGGTGAACCTGACTCACATGATGGGGAGCCATCTGCTTTACTCAAAGCCCACCCATTTAAATGACACTCTCATCCAAAACGCCATCAGAGAAACATCTAGAATAATGTTTGACCAAATATCTGGGCACTGTGGCCCAGCCAAGTTGACCATAAAGTTAACTATCACAAGCATCTAAGGACTCTTTGCCAAACCAAATAATAGGAGAATTTTTTTCTTATGTTTTATTCTAAAGTTTTACGTTTGTAGTTTTGGAAAGAAGATCAGTTCAAAGACTTTAATTACAAAAATATATTTAGTAGCAACAAAATCCCAAACACACAATAATAACAAAACATATGCAACATTTTTATGATAAAAATTATAAAACTGTATTGAAAAGCATTAAAGAAGACCTAAATAAATGGAGAACTAAATAAACAAGGTCTAAATAAATAAATATTCATGAAAAGGAAGATTTATTATAGTGAAAATGTAAATTCTTCACAAACTAATTTAGGCAATTCAAAATCTCAACAGAGTATTTATGTATTTTTTTATGTCTATTTATGTATTTTTTTATGTATTTTTTATGTATTTTTTTAAAGTGTAACTTAAGCTGATTCTATAATTACATTGAAGTATAAAAGAAAGAGACTAGCTAACATTACTACGCAGACACACCTTTCTAGATAGCAAGACTTGTGTTAGCACTTTGCTGAGACAATCTAATATCGTTTCAAGATAAAAACCAATGGAACAAAACAGAAAGTGCAGAAATGGAACTAAACATAGATATGACAAAAATGGCATTAAAAACCAAGGGGAAAAGAAGGGATATTCAATATTTGGTTCTAGGGCAACTGGCTATCCACATGGAATACAATGGAATTGTATAACTTCCTCATAAGTCATTTAAATGTCAATTCTGTGAGAATTAAAGACATAAGTCTGAGAAGCAAAATTTAAAATTTTTAAAAGAATTGAGTATACCTTAGTGATCTCAGAGTAGGAAAGTATTTCTTAAATAAATTTCACACTCATACACACACACACACACACCCACCCACCATTAAAAGTGAAAAGGCAAGCCGATGACTGGAAGAAGATATTTGTAATGTGCACAGCAAAGGTTTAATATAAGAATATATATAAAACTCCTATAAGCCAACTTTTTAATAAAACAAACAAAACAATAAAAATTATAGCAAAAACTACAAACAAGCAATTCACAAATGAGAAAACCCAAATGGCCAGGAAATGCAAGAAAAGATGCTAAACCTTGTCAAGGACATGCCAGTGTAAACCATACTTTCAAACATTTCGTCTATACTGGACTGGCACAAATAGCAAAAATTCTGATAACAAGAAATGTAGGCAATGATGTGGAACAAATGGAACCTTTATTTACAATCCCAAGTTAAAACATATTCTGAAAAATGAGAATTTTTCATTGTTCACATTACAGTAAAAACCAACATGACCCAACCTGATTTGGAAGCAAAATCTGATCTTCACTGAAGTGAAGCTCTTTATAGTCTTAATCCTACTTACTGTCATTATTTATACCTTTCACTGCAAAAATACTAACATATTGTTTATGGGATGCTGTTGTAGTGTCTACTGGGTTGTTTCATGCTATATGGGAGTAATCATGTTACCCTCCTAAAATCTAAACATTATGAATTCCAAAGAACAGCTGGCCCAAAAGTTCTGGAGTAGGATTATAGATCTGTTCAAACTTGTTAGAATACAATTTGGCAACATCTAGTAAAGATTAATAGTGTGTATCCCCTAAAACAATAATTCCATTTCATTCTTAGAAACTCTAGTACATGTGCATTGGGATACATGAGCAGGGATATTTATAGCAGCGGTGTTTATAGTTGCAAACAATTGGAAACGACTCAGCTGTCCATCACCAGAAGAAAGTATAAATGATACATCAAAATTCTATATTGCCTTAAAAATGATCAAACTCTAGCCACCTGTAGTCACATGGATAGATTTCATACATAAATGTGAGAGGAAAAAAGCCAATGGCAAGTCAACATCTAATATTTTATACCAATTATATAAAGTTTAAAATATGCAAAATAACACTATATATATTTTAAGGATAGAAGCTGTGATGGTTAATTTTATGTCTACTTGGCTAGACTCTGATGACCAGCTCTTTGGTCAAACACTAGTCCAGATATAGCTGAAAAGGCATTTTTAGATGCAATTAATGTTTACAATCATTTGACTTTAAATAAAGCAGATTACCCTCCATAACGTGGGTGGATGGGTGAACCTCACCCAGTCAGTTCAAGGCCTGAAGAGCAAGGGCTGAGGTTTCCTGAAGAAGAACAAATGATGTCTCCAGACTGCAACGTAGAAATTCTAAATTTTCAGCCTTTAGAGTCAAGATTATAGCATCAACTCTGATCTGAACCCTAGTCTGCCACCCTGCCCTACGGATTTCAGACTTACTAGCCCCCACAATCATGTAAGTAAATTCTTCTTTTATAGTAAATCTTTCTCTCTTTCTCTTTACATATATACTATTTGTTCTGTTTCTCTGGAGAACCGTAATACAGAAATATATGTAATAAAATTATAAAGAGATTCACAGGAACAATATGAAACAAGATCACAATTTTCTCTGGTAGAAAGGGAGAAGCATGTATTCAGGAAGGGATGCACTATGGGTTTCAAATCTATTCATAATTTATTCTTAAGCCATGTGGTAAGTACACAGATATTTATTATATTATTCTTTTTTCCTATTTGTACATCTAAACATTTTATTATAAATTTAAAATAATTTAAAAAATAAAGTCAAACAAAAGACACTTTTAGAGAAGAATGATGAAAAAAACTTTCGGGTATCCAAAGAGAAAATTTCCCATGTGAATTTTAAGAGGAATTTGGACTCATGCTAGAGATTTAACGAAAGCATTTCATACCAGTAGTTAATGACCTGGTTATCAAATACTTCATATTACCATGATGAGGCAAGGTGATTCAGTAAAAGAATTTTCTTTGGTGCTTGTTCTGTCACTATACTCACTCAGATAATAACACCATTATCAATACACATCACATCGGCCTAAACTGCTAATGGCTGATAGCCTGTGATTCTGCTGACCACCTAACAATCAGCTTTCTATTCCTTTGTCCAGTAATGCTTACAGTTACAGAGGAGTGCTTTGCTGGTGTGAGTAGAACCTAGGCTCTCTCTAGTCAAATAATGAGCCAGAACTACTGCTTTAAATTTCAAATCAATTACACTTTCTATTGATTCTATGATTGACAAAAATGCCCTCCTCTATACTGGTCTGAAAGGTAAGGTGTTTCCAAATCCATATCAGTTTTTTTCAGAATATATTGACTACATGAAAAAGATTAATAATGAAGAACGAAGTCCTGGTACATAGTTTTTTATATTCTTCATGTCTTTCCACTTTCTCTTTTACTCTCTAGGGAAATTTTGAATGGAAACTAATATACGTGGGTTGGGAGAGTGGCATCTGTTTATATTTGGGATATCCACATCAAAATTTGGTTGAATTATATTTCCAGGGATAAAAATAAGTTTATAAACTATTCCTTTAGATTCTTAATTTCTTATTCCCCAATAGAAGTTTATGCTTTTCTGTTGAACATTATCAAAGGTTGAGGAGTTGTTTATGATAAATTTTATATTTGAGTTCTCATTTTGATGTTCAACATAAAATATTAATATAAGCATATATTTAGTTAACACGGTATATTTAAGTACCACCCTACAATTTCTGTGCCTATATTTGGGCTTGCTTTTTTAAAAAAAAAATCATCCTATTAGCACCATGTCAAAGGCGCATGAGCTCACAGCACACTGCAGAAATCAAATATTTCAACGTAGCTTTAAGAGAGAAAAATGTGGTAGAAAGATTGTGTTATACAATAAGGATGGTACTAACATGGCAAACTAAAAAATTAAACCTAAACTAGAGGAAAACATATTCTATGTTTATTTGCAGTTAGTGGAATTGTTAATATGGAACAAAAAACTTTTATGTTCCAAATTGCATTAGAAATTGACATAAATGGATTTTTAATGAACATTTCAATAATGCAGCAATGCTGACCTCACCTTTATGTGAACAAGTTAGGTTTAAAGATTTATCAATTGACACTATATTTAATTTGGCATTCTGCAGCTCATTGGTAGAATTCTGACTAAAGATGAATCCTGGTTGAGGTCATTCATACCAGGTTGTAAGAACACTTTTATGAATAGCCATTCTCAACATTAGTATTGTTTAACTCAAAGTTCAGAATTGCTCAAGCATGGAACTGGACCGGAAGTGCTGTTTTTATATCATTAAAACCAATCTCAGCTATTTATTTTAAAAAGAACAAGAACAACCATTACAACATATGGATTTTTTCTGTTTTTTTAAAGATTGGCACCTGAGCTAACATCTGTTGCCAATCTTCTTCTTCTCCTTTCCCTTCTCCTTCTTTTCCCCAAAGCCCCCCAGTACGTAGTTGTATACTCTAGTTGTGAGTGCCTCTGGTTGTGCTACGTGGGACGCCACTTCAGCATGGCCTGATGTGTGGTGCCATGTTTGTGCCTGGGATCTGAACAGTTGAAACCCTGGGCTGCCGAAGCAGAGCACGCAAACTTAACCACTCGGCCAGGGGCCAGCCCCTGGATTTTGTTGATTTTAACTATATTAGCTTTGTAATCTTTGTTTTTTTGATTTGGTAAGTCCACAGATTAAGTTAGTTATGCATAGCTTTAAGCTTGTATCAATTGAACTTTGTGTTAATGTGCATGGAATTAAGGTCTTAATACTATTTAGACAACAACCAAGTTTGTGACTGTCATTGAATGCATAGTATTTAATATCTATGATGTGTAGCTCAGGGCCAGGTGATTTAAAGTTAAGTTCTATTCCAAATACACCAGTAATTTTTTCTGTTTCTGTTTTTCTGGATGATCTCTTAATACTGCTTGCCACTCCCAGTTTCCCAACTAGCCACTAGTGTTCTAGCAGTTGTATTCAAGGAAAAAGCAATACAAGTCTTAGCAAATTATCATTTTTCACTCGAAAGCATTACACTGTCTTTTTCCAGAAGCAGATCTCTTCAGCAAAAAATGTTTGTCAATGATACTAGACTATATTCACATGGTACTTACCGTTGGCAAAGCAAGTATGCCCACTTTCACGTCAACACCACTCCACTCCAGGAAGGCCTCCAGGCTGGATTCACATCCCTCGTAAGTACCCCTTGGCATTGCATTAATCTCTCATTTCTGGCCCCGGTACACTGTTCTGTGATCTTTGATGAACGTTGTGTCTTGCCCAAAAAGCTGTAAGCTTCTTAAGGTTAGGTATCATGCTGTGTTAATCCTTGAGTCCCCAGGGCTTAATGTGGCACCTGGAAGTTTTTAGATGTTTAGTTAATATTTGATAAATGAATTAAATGGCCACATCTACAAAACTCTGTGTGAATTTCATAATCTTACACTTTTCAGCAGGGTTCCAGTTATACTAAACATTTTAAATAATGACACTGGTTTTCTAGGTTGAAAAATTACCCTCATAATAGGACTATATATACTAACAAATTTTGTTACATTCTAATTTTCCCTGGAAATGACCTTAGCCTGATATTGGTTGTAGTACATAGAAAGATACCACCTAAAGTTAATATTTTTGATTACTAAGTCAATTTAACAAACATTTGTTGAACACCTACATTGTATAGTATGTTATGTACTAGAAACTATTAACATGACAAAAACGTATATAGTATGTTCTTATAAGCAGCTTAAAATCTAATAGAGAAATGTAGGTTTTGGCATGTTGAGAGGCAACAGTAAGGCTTACACTAAATGTAATAAGAAACACTTGGAGATGTAGAATGATCTGAGTTGGGTGAAGTGTGGGTAATAGGAATGGTTTCACAGAGGAAGGCCTTAAAACTGTTTTTGCATTGACATAAAATAATTTCACATGAATACAAGAAAACATAAGATGTTTTACATTAATTTAGAATTTTACATTATATAAAATGGTGTAAGATTTTATATCAATGTAAAGTTTTACCTTAATATAAAATAAGATCTCAGTAATTTTTCTGTAGACATCTGAATCTACCCACACTGAGACATGCCCACACATATGAGTGGAATACTCCTATAATTCACACTGCTCTGTTAAGTGACTTTTTCACTTAAAATACATCATTGACATCTTTTGGACTAAAATTGCTCAACAGAGATTTTTACTCTTAATATATTTTAATTTAGCAATTGTTTCCTTGACAATTTACAGCTTTCGAGAGATTCTTTAAAAATAATTTCCTCCTACAGTATTGTAGAAATAATCAACTAAATTTTCCTCTAATAGTTATATGGATGTATTTTTATATTTAATTAGTTAATTCTGTCAGGAGATTTGTAACAGTTCAACTTTTGGACAGTTTTGCCCCAATATTCGTTACAAAATACTATACTGAATAACCACTAATTAAAAAAATATTCTATTTTGGCATTCTGTAATCTACCACATTGAAATATTTGTTTCTTCAACAGTATCACAATATTTTATGCACTGTAATTTTATAAGACATCTCGATATCTGGAAGAGTAAATCTTTCTGCAAGGATTTGAATTTTTTTCAACTTTTTATTGACTGTTGTTAAAAATTCATACTTCTAGGTAATCTTTAGGATCAGTTTGAGGTGAAGAATTGAAATAACAATCCGTGGAGAATTGAAAATTCCTTTTAATCTGTTGTTACTAAGTTAAACAATTTTTTTCCAAATGTATCCGTCCTTGTTTTCTAAATTTCTTAGCACTTATTGAGACTTTTAATTTAACAGTAACAGACTAGCACTTGTTAAAATGAAAAATTATGCATAGATTTTTAAATTTTAAACTATCTTCATATTCAAGAAAAAAGCTCCATTTGGTCATATATGTTATTCTTAATGTCATGCCAGATTCTGCTTGCTGACATTTTACTTAGGATTTTTGATTCTGTATTCACAGATGATTTTGTTCCATTTCTCCCCTTTTTGTGATGTCAATTAGTATTACCTTGGTAAAAAGAATTGGGAAGTTTTCTATATTGAATGTATGTTCTCAACTCACTGCTAAATTTTCTGGTCCTCTCTCAGATTTCCTCTAGGTTTGAGCTCAAGAAAAAGATATTCTAAAGCCATAAACATGGAAGTGTAGTGGATCCAGTTGGTCAGCTTACCCCGTCCCAAACTCTATCTAGTGTAGACTCTTGTGCCACAACCCCTGTAAAGCTAAAAATACAAAATGAAATAGCCCAGCATGTCCTAAAAGTAAAATAAAAATAATAAAGCTTTCATTTCATCCTTTAAAGGAGAAGTTTCAAAAAATGGGAAATAAATCTATATTATTTTCACTGGAATTTACTTTTTGTAAAAGTTACATTAAATGAGGAGAAAAAAATAAGTCTGGGGTTTAAGTGGCAAAGTCATCATCCTTGTGTTATAGGTGTTGTAAACTCTGCTTTTCTTTCTTTTTTCTTTTTCTTTCAGAACGTTTTCATTTTCATGAGTCCCAGATTGAATGGGGATATGTGGTTCAAACTGTGAGAGATGTTTTAAAATTTAAATAATGTTACTTGGCAAATAATAAAAGTTAAAAGTGTATTTCAGTAAAGCTTTAAACAGGGCCAGCCTCAGAAGCTTTTTCAAAAAATCATTTCAGAAACACGAAGATTCAATGCGATTGAGAAAAAAAGTGTGGATTTTGCAGTCAGACAGACCTGCATAGGAATCCCAGTTCCGCTACTTACCACGTGGTAACCTTCAGTAAATTGCTTAATCTTTCCCAAACACAGCTCTCTAGCTATATATAAAAAAGCATAATATCCAACCACAAGGTTATTGTACAGATAAAAGAAGATAATATCCAAGAAAACTCCTTTTGCAGTGTCAGGTGCACACTGCATTCAATAAATATTAGGACTGTTCCCTCCCAATTAGATTTAAAACCTGAAATTTTACCTATTTAGAGATACAGATTTAACTTGTTTTTCTTTTCTTTTGATCCACTGCATTTCCTTAATAAATCATTAAGTGATATCAATTATTTACTACTTGAAGAAACATGTTTATCCATCTTTCACACAAAAAAAGACTTTTATATGTGGAAGGGAGCATTGGGGAAAGCAGTATGTTAGAAAACGCCTGGCTCCCTGTGATGTGAGAGAGCTGGGAGGGAACAGGATTTGTGGGATATTAAAAGTAGATACAAGAAGAGCTAAGAACCGAGGAAGAGGAACTTGAGAGAGAGGAAGATTAATCTTATCTACTTCATAACGTCTAACATAGAGTGAGGATGAGTAGAACAGGCTGCGAAGATTAATTTTCCAAGTCCTCCAAGTGAAAGAAAGTGCTGAAAACTTAGTTGATTCTTAATGAAACTCACCAAGTAATTATTATTCAAATCGCTACGAGCCAAGAGAGTGTAAACGTGTGCTTTCATGCCTATTTCTAAGAACTCCTTATAACTATTTCGTGCAGTAGATCAGTACTATCCCAGCCAGTTCTCAAAGAAAAAAACCAACCCGGAAGAATATAGTCACCAATTTCCCTGCCCATAGTGGGGAAGGAGGCTTATAATGATGGGAGAATAAAAAGGGCCTTATATTGCACTTCACTTTATGGCCCTCGAAAATAACCTTTAAAATTAGAGCTCAAGCAGTGACATTCTCAAGTGGTTCTACTGAAAGACACTATGACTTGAAATAATCTCCAAGTCCATTTAAAACATATCTTGAATCTTCCAATCCAACTCCTTAACTATAACAATGCATCTTTAAAACCATGTTAAGTATAATAATCATCTTTGTGCTTAAAATGGGGAGTAAAATTTTCCTACTGTTAAGATATCATCTTGTGGTTTCTACATAAAAGTATAACATTTGAAACCATAAGGATTATTTGGATTATTTATTCCAGCACTTTTATTTCATAGACAAGGAAACTGAGACCCAGAGACAGTAGCTGACTGGGGTCAAGGAACAACAATCATGTTCACAGGCGAGACTCGCCTGTACGTCTTCTGACTCTCAGACCTCTGTTCTTCCCATAACACCTCAGCTTTCCTCTCTTTCAGCAATTTTGTGGGATGGAGAATATAAATCATTAGCACTTTTTATTGGTATTCTAGGCAAAGGATTTAGAAATTAAATCGAGAGAGAAGGAGATTAGAATTTCATTGTCCATTTTGCTAAAACACACATACTTGTATGTGTGTGTGTATATATATATATTTATACATGTATATACACATGTATACATGCATGTATGTAAAATATATATATTTTATATATATTCATATATTTTATATATATAAATTAAATATATATAATATAATAAATAAAATATGTATTATATATTTTATATATTTATATACAAAATATATTTTATATATTTTACATACATGCATGTATACATATGGTTACAGTGGAATAAAGAGTGCTTTCTTTTGGTAGCTAGGTGCATGGACCAGAATATTTAAACTCATCAATCACTTTCCTTTTTTTCCTCCTCAAATCCCCCCAGCACATAGCTGTATATTATTAGTTGTGGGTCCTTCTAGTTGTGACATGTGGGACAGTGCCTCAATGTGGCCAGACGAGTGGTGCCATGTCCGTTCCCAAGACCCGAACCAGCGAAACCCTGGGCCACCAAAGCGGAGCCGGGGAACTTACCCACTCCGCTAGGGGCCGGCCCCGCACTTTCCTTATTGATTAAAAGGGAATATGATTCTCCCCCTGGCTCTCTAATGAGGATCACAGTAGATGCTTTGCATGAATATTCTTCATAAATTCTAAATTGTTAAGCAAGGGTAGAGGGTTATTAGGTCCTCACACACAGTGAGTGCTAGGGGAGTGAAATGTATTTTCATTTCTGACTGAGGTGCAGAATGAAACCTTCTTTAGGCTCATCTTTCTCTGCTCACTGGAGGAATAGGTTGCCTATTTTATTAGTCAAAGTAATTCACACTAACAACCACAATAAAAAAGCCTTCAGAAATCTCAATGGCTTAACACAAAAGTTTACTTCTCCTTCTCGCAAAATGTGATGCAGGTTGGTGGGAGTGTTTTGGCTTAGAAAATAGGATTGACCTGGCTGCGACACAACCGTCTCAACACAAGACCTCTAAGCCAGAGAGAGAGATGGAGGAGGAACACTGGCCCTTGACTGTTTCAGCCCAGAAGTAATACTCACAATTCTTGGGCACGATCCATGGACAAAACTAGCCATTTTACTGAACTTTACCCACTTTACTGCAAAAGAAGCTACAAAGGGTAGGAGAGAGTTGGAGAATGAGGTGAACACCACCTGTCTCCAGGACATCGAGGGATCGTGTTAGAATAGATTGTGTCAAAACCTCATGAGATGGAGCCTTTTATCCAAGGTCCTACAGAACTAAGAGGTAAGTGAAGAGAATCACAAAGCAACCGTATTGGTGGAAACCCAAGAGAGAAAAATATTCATAATACTGGAGTCTATGTCTGCAGTCACAAAGAGGGAATATTATACTTATTTAATTTTATAATTATTTATGTATAGATATACATGAAATATAATACATTACATATATATTGTAAGCATGGGCCCTCCAGGACCAGTTCAACTGACCCCATCTCTTATCAGCAGAGTGATTAAGAATTGCCTTTCAGAAAATGTGCAAAGTCACATAGTCAGATGCACAGAAGAAGAAATCTTGACATGAAATGACCGTAGAACCAAAGATTATCCTCCCCACAGAACCGAAGGACAGGGACATGACCAGAACTTAAAAGTGGGACTCTTATCAGAAGCAAGGGTCCCCCATTCAGGAAGATCTAGTGTTAAAATTCCTTTCCCACTTCATCATAAATGTTTAGAATTCTATCATAAAAGTTTAGAACCTCATCATAAATGTTTAGAGCCCTGTTGTAAATGTTTGAAGCTCACCAATGAAAACCTGTCCCACCAGCGTTTCCACATGCCAGCCTGTTCTCCCTAACCCCTTAAATTTCACCCCAAATCCTGAATCAGGGAGACAGATCTGAGGGGACATGCCTGCTGTGTCCCTAAAGATCAATCTCACAGAATAACGCTGATTTCCCCCCAAAAAGCTGATGCCATAATTAATTGTTTTTTTTTAATGTGCATTGGGCAAGAGAACCCTAATTTTGTGTGGTAAAAACATCATATCATATATCATAGAATCATGGAACATAAACAGCACAAATCATAGAATGTAACTCCCTTGCTTAAAACTCAATACAGACTTTAAACAGTTTAATTAAAGCTGAGTTGCTAAAGCGTTGCTGTCAAATCAGGTATAGGAAAACAACCGTAAAAGATTGGAGGAGAATTGACTAAAAACTAGCTGCATGCTGAGTTCAAATTACAAAAATTAAAAAAGCAGAATTCCACTTAACAAATATAAACTCAAACACGTGGGCCCTAGTTCAAAGATTGTAATTGCATGTGCCTTTTTTGTTTGTTTCTCTTACTTAAAAATAAAATACACGGGACATAAATCATAAAAACTTTTTTTCCCATTAAGTGATTTTTCTTTAAGGAACAGTATCATAGCTTTAAATAAGAGAATTTATTTATAATTTATAATCTTTAAATTTAAATCTTTAAAGAATTTATAATCTTTAAATAAGAGAATTGCAACTCTATTACCCCTATTTAACTGACTGAAAACATGGAGCTTCAGAGGAGTGGATGACCTGGCCAGCAGCAAACAAGCAAAGGACATTTCTCCTGACTGCCAGCCTGGTGTTCTTCTATCTTAAACTGTCTCCTCAGCTGTTATTGACCTTTTATTTTAGAACTTTGTCTTAATTTTGAAGAATGTCTTTAAAATGTAATGTCTGAAAGTTCTAAGTTAATGCTTAATGTGGGGGTAGGGGAGGTACTGCTCAGATCCCTCCAGGAGAACCTGCTCTGGGTGACAGCCCTGCTTCCGTACCTTTGACTCCACCTCAGTATTAATGCTAAGGCTACTTGTGTCCCAGGCTCTTTCCAGCCAATAACTGAGCACAGTAGGGGGCAGTAGAGCCAGACCACCACCATTGCGTGTGGAATTCCTCTACTGTGCAACCTCTGCCTCGAGTAGGCAACCTATGGGATTCCCCACAGGCCTGGTCAGAACATTTTCAGAACTGAGCTGCAGTCTGAGGCCCTTTCTATCCAATCCTGCCTTCCCTCCTCTCAGATGGGTCAAGTGTTCATCACGGTAAGAAGGCTCTCCTGGCCTACTCTTGCTCTCTCCCCCACTTCGTCTTTCACAGGTGTGTCCCCCAATAAATGGCTTGCATATTTAAATCCAGTCTTGTCATCTGCTTCTAGAAGGACCTGGACAGACACAGGTGGTACTTATAGTGGTCTAAGAAAATAAGTGGTGAAATGGGGTGCAAGAATTTCTCACTCACTGTCCAGATGTTGAGGAGCACCACATCTTGAGTGCAAAATGGGGCAGTGTTAGTCCCTAATGCAAGGAGATGGTCCAGTTGCTGAAGATTTCACCAGCGGTGATTAGAAAAGATGTCCCAGTAGAGAAGAACACTCTTGCCAGTGGGATGATTGAATTTTTTTTTCTCCACTCATTTTGGGGTCTCTGGCTGGGGCCCTGTAAATTGGATTGGTGAAAGACAGATTAACAAAAGAAAAACAAACAGAAGTTTATTAACATGTGCATAAGCCTACACATGCGAGCAACCAGTGATGAATCATCCAAAGAGGTGATTAGAACTTGGGCTTATATACTATTTTAGGTTAAACAAAAGAAAAGGAGTGCTGAGCTTCTGAGCAGGTGAGGCAAGTTATGGGAAGGTGACCATAACTATGGTAAACAAAGTATAGACAAAGGTTGGCTAGTAAGGTGGAGAGGGCTAACAGAACACGGTGTCCCTAGGTGCATGCCATTAGGCAGCCACTGAGGGCGCTATTTACTATCTATAATCAGAAGACTGGAGAAGCAGGAGGCTGAGTGCAACCAGCCTAACAAAAAGCTGTGATCCCTTGCTTAGGTCCAGGGCCGGAGCCAATATTTATATCTGGAAACTACTGACTGAAGACGTAGCCGGATCCCTAAGAGGAGGGACCCTACAACACCGTGGCCAGGATAGGCTCTAATGATTCCATGAGTGCTAAACTGAAGGGCCCTACAGAATTTTACTCAGGTGACTGTGCACTGGGAAAGTAGAATACCCAGACACTTCAAGAACATTCGGACATCAATCTGACATTGATACTCGGAGATCCAAAATGTCATCACACCCTCCCTGTTAGAGTGGAGGTGTACAGGGTCAACTAACAAATGAAGCCCTAGTAAAGTCTGTCTCTCTGTGGTCCACTAGTGGTCCCAGGGTCATCTCCAAGTCCTGAGTATATAATCAAAATTGACATGTTTGGTGGTTGAAGTAACTCCAACACCGGGTCTTTGGCCTGTGAGTGAAAGCTAGCGAAATGGAAAAGTCCAAGTAGAAGCCTCTGAAACTGCCCCCTGCCGAGGATAAGAAATCAAAAGCAATTGCACATCATGATGGGGTTGGTGGAGAATAGTGCCACCATTAAGGACCTGAAGGATGAAAGAGTGACGGTCTTTATTATATCATCCCTCAATTTTCTTTGCCACTCAGGCCCTTGCAGAAAATGGACAGATCCTGGAGAATGACTATGCACTTTCACAGGTTCGATCAATTCTACTGTGCTGGATGTAGCATCATTGCTGGAGGAGAGTAATAGGATCTTGGGAATACACTCTGCTGTCATTGATTTGGTAGATGCATTCTTTTCTATTTTTATAGAAAAAAGAATACGAAACAGTTCCTATTCACATGAAACAGACAAAAATATTCATCAACAGTTTATTCTCAGAGCTATGTTCACCCTCCCACCTTCATCATAATAGTGTCCAAAGAGATCTGGACTATCTGGACATCTCACAGAAAATCACATTTATGGAGCACATGGAAGACATCATGTAGAGGGGGCAGGAGGAGCAAGAGGTAGCTAGTAGACTAGAGGTGGTGGTTTGACGCATGTGCTCCAGAGGGTAGTAGATAAACCCACAGCAAAGTTTTTAAGAGTTCAGTAGTCAGGGGTATGTTGGGACATACCCTTCAAGGTAAACTTTAAATTTCCAAATCTTACATCCATGGCTCCAAAGAATGAAGCCTAGTTGGCATCTTTGGCTTCAGAAGGCAACATATTGTACATCCAAAATTCGTGATCAGACCCATATACCAGGTGACACAAAAGGCTGCCTGCTGTGCGGGAGGAGCAGCTTGGAAAGGGCTACGAAGCACATCCAGCCTGTGGTGCAAGCAGCCTCGTCACTCAGGCCTCACAAGCTGGTAAATCAGTGCTGTTGGAGGTGCTAGTGGTGAGAAGACGTGTGGTGTTGAGTTTATAGCAGTCTCTAAAAAAAGAATCCCAACCCAGGCCCCTAGAGTTCAGGAGCAAGGGCATGCCATTTGTACCAGAATTATCTGACTTTTGAGAAACATCTTCTGGCCTTTGACTGGGCCCTGGTAGAGATGGAACACTTGACCATGGGGTACTAAGTCATTGTACATCTCGAATGCCTGCCAGAAAGCCCATTTTGATCTGGCCTGACTATGTCATAAAGACAGACAGACGTACCAGCAGTGCATCATAAGATGGAAATGGTACATCTGCTATTGTGCTCACACAGGACTAGAGGACACAGTAAGCTGCTGCCAAGAGGTGGTACAGACCCTCACACCACCTATGCCATTGATGCCCACTTCTCCCCCGTAGCTATATGGAGACAGGGTCCCAGATAATCAGCTAAAAGAGGAGGAAAATCCCAGCTTTGTCTTCTTAAGAATGCCTTGGCTCTTTATGTGAGTACAAGCTAGAAATGGGTGGTGGCTGCATTACAGTAATATTGGGGGTAGCAGAGCAGGGCAGTTTTCCCCAATGAGCGAAGCTGCAAATGGTTCACCTGACCCTCCCCACTCTGGAAGGAAAGTGGCTGGAGGTAAGAATATATATACGGATTCTTGAACAGGGGTCAATGGCTTAGCTAGCTGTTCAGGGGCCTGGAAGGAAAAGGACTGGAAGATTGAAGATAAGGATGTGCTGGTTGCTAATAGTAGAAGTTGCTAATTTACTTTTCCAGGTTACACAACTGCTATTGGATCTAAACGTTTTAGACTCACATCAAAAAGACTTGAGTGTAAAATTAAGCAAGTAAACTTCTCCTATCTATGCCCAAGGAAAGTTTTTACCTGTCTTCTGGAAATGTATCAAGGGAAGTGGGCGATTATCTCAAGGTCTGAGGATGGACATTTATTTCTGTGCCCATGTTTCTTTCTGTTGGGTCCTGAATAACACCATATCCTATCAAACATCTCTGAATAGGAATTTCTACATTGTCTGACTTCTCCAGAGACAACTTGATAGTTCAGAGTTGGAACAGGATGTGTACAATCTGTGCATCTATGCATGGGTGTAAGTGTGTGTGTGTAGTGGGGGAGACTGACAAGCACATGAGTACTTCTTTGCTCAAACTCTTGCATTCTCTCTCTATCTTTTCTCATTATTTTTATCCTAAAGTCCCTTTTTAAGCTCTTCCTATTTTGTGCTCTTTTTCTGTGGGACACACCACCTCTGCAAAGGACAAGAGAGTTCCTGTTCCAGTTCCATCATGTTCTTGCAACTTCTGTCACCATAGATATCAGCTAACGTTGAGCAGTCTTGCTGTGTCACTTAGTCTTCTCAGGATATTGATATGGGTGACAGGTGAGCTCTACTTCCCATCTCAGGGTGAGGATGCGTTAATAGAAACAATTGG